ACATTATTACTATTATTGTCAGTATGCAACATCCAGGAGTTGCTACTGTAGCTGCTTTTTCTTTAACTGATTGAAACTCAATTTTGATATCTGTAAATAATGATTGGAGATGCTCTCTACCTTTCAAATTCAGCTGAAAGAAACATAAAAACAGTGCCTTAAATACTACTTTCATATAGTTGTTAGTGTAAATGAATTGAAGTTCATATACACATAGAATTGAAAATGACTCCTGATTCTTTCCAAACAAACAGCAAATACAACACAAATGTATTGGTCATCTTGGTTGACCTAAGTACTCATGTTTCATTACATGAACTGTTGTTTAAAAAAATCTGCCTGCTGTGAATTCAGGAGTCCATGAAGGGATCCTGAAGGATCACTGCTGACTCGGCTATAATTTTTTGACAAGTGTGGTATGTTACCGCTAATGGCTACTGACAGAAAAGTCAGTTTCTAACATCTTGTAATAATGCAGAGCTATAAGGGACACTATGCTTCTCTTTTGTATATTCAGTTCTGAGCAGCTAGCTCACATCAGAATGAGGGTCTTGGACTTTGAAGCGTGCGATTATTCAGGAGTAATAGTGTGTTTATTACAAACAGCTTCTGGGATTCTTAGATTGGTCAGACAGGTGAATCTTTCATGCAGATGGGAAAAAGTCCCTTCTGGATCCTTTGCTTAGATTGTTTTTAAAATAGAAGTTCTTTAAATCATGGGATATCTGTAGTTGTTAAACGTTTCCTTATTGCTTTATGTTGGATGTTCCCAAACTATTTTCATTATCCTCCTCGTTGCAGGCTTTGTCTTTACTGAGTCAACTTTCAAAAGGTATTCAGCTTCAGTGTTTGATGTTTGTTTTCAAGGTTTATAGCATTGTCAAAGGATTACAATGAAAGCCTTGGGCGCCTTAATATTAGTGCCATGTCTACCTAAAACCCACAAATGTCTAAATATAACAGGCTAAGGTTTGAACACTGATGCTAATGTGCTTGCACTACGCTTTGTTTGCTCTTCTGGTTTTGTCAGAAAAGAAGGCGTAGAATATATTTGTCTGATAGCTGAGATAATGTTGAAGCTGGAATTTTCACAACCATCCTTTCTGACAGCAACTTGTGCTATACAGGTGCTGATTTTGCATTTAGAAAAACTCATGGATTGGCTTTCCTTGACTTCATCTAAACTATTTTATTTTTAACTATTTTTAACTATTTAATATTTAACTATTGAGTTAAAATTGCTGTTGCTAAATTATACAATAAATCTAAATAGGTAGGGGGTAAAGGATTGCAAAGTACAATTTCAAACGAGATTTTAGTAGAGTCTTTTCTACACAGTTGGTTAGGAATGCAAGACAGCTGAGAATGCAGAATAAAAGAATACAATGCAACTTCATAGAGATAATGAATTCTCAGATTTCAAATAACCTGTTTTAGATTTTGACAGATTTTTCACTACAGTAATTAGACGAAACCAAAACAATTTCTACCGCTTCCCACAAACACTCTTCTTGTCCTGTCCTTAGTTTCTCTTAGATTTCAAACCTAGTTTACTCATTCTCTAGGCCTGCTTTCAAAAAGTGTCCTTTGGATTTCTCCTAGTAGGGAATTCTTTAATCCTGTGTATGTTTTTAGATATCCTGCTTGTTTTCCTTTCTTTTTTTTAAACAATTTTTGTTTTTAATTGTTTCTAAGAATAAAATGTAACTAATATTCAAACCCCAACATGTTGTTCAACTTGTTCATTATACTTTCAAAATTCTGTTGGCTGTTGGAACAACCCCACTGCTTCTTCGGGTACTGCAAACTGAGTAGCCCTGACCTTTTTTCCACACTCAAATAACCTCAAATGTTTGTTACTATATTAAAAATACTAAGTGTATTCTATATATGATTTCTTTGCAAATATAGAAAAAAATTCTAAGGAACCGTGCCTTTTTGAAGTAGCGTGATACTGAAAAGTTGGTCTAAAACTATTTTTAATATTGTGTGCAAGGTGTCAACTGATTTCAGTAGTCATAAGTAACATGAAAGAAAATGGCTCTGCAGGAACAAGACTTGTACAAAGAGTGCTAAGCAAAGGTACCCCAAACTGAATCCCTTTATTGTTATTTTTGGCCTTCTGCTTGCCTACTTGATGCTCAGAAAGTGATGTCCAACTAGATTCACTGTAAAAACTGTTTTCCAGTTCAGTGCTAAATAAAACTAAAAACTAAGTAAAACCCCAGTCCTGCAAACTTGCACATATTTGGCATTACTTATAGCATAAAATATTTACAGGCTAATGTCAAAAAGTCCAAAGTCAAATTTTAAATTGCTATGTGTTATTAGAAAAAAGATAATATTTTAACTAGCATGGTTAATGTTATTTAAAAAAAAGAACCAAACAAACCCCACTCCCGAAGCAATAAAAACTGCAGCAAATATAGACATAGTTATCTTGGGGATAAAAATGTTTATGATGTACATCACATGAATGAATTGTCTAGTACGTTATGCTAAGCTACTTGCTTTTATACTAAGAGCTGGCCTGATACATCACTTCAAAATGTGTTCTTAAGATACATAGACAAAAGTTTTCTGTTAAGCAGATCCTACTCTATAGTACTCAGAACTGATAGTTACATGTAGGTTGAGTTAAGCTTTATCTCCCATATGTCCAAATTTGCTGCCAGATTTTTTTTTTCCATGCGGAAGATATGTCTGTATAGCATCTAAAGATTTTGTATACATATCTGAGAATGCAGCACATATGTTCTGTACAAACTGATCCTGAACTACATGAGGTGTGAACCTGAGACAGCATGGTCAACTATATATCTGTACAGTAAATCAGTGCTCAGTTGCATTGGTTTCACTGTATATGTAGAGGTCATGTCCGTTCAGTGGGCTCAGTGCTTCCAAGTTCAAGGCCAAAACAATCTACCGTTCTACCAAACCTACCAAATGTTTTGGTTCTAAACCATCAAGATCACAGTCTCCCA